CCTCCCCGGCCTTCCCGATGCAGTTTGACACTCTGTTTGAGGCAGCTAGAGAGAAAAGGAGAGGGAGAGAGAAACATCAATGATGAGACAGACTCATTGATTGGCTGCCTCCTGTATGCCCCTGACTGGGGATCGAGCCCACAACCCAGGCCCTTGACCAGAATCGAACCCGGGACCTATCAGTCCACAGGCCGACACTATCCACTGAGCCAAATCAGCCAGGGCTAGTATTGCCAATTTTTACTGAAAAACTCATGTTTTTAAATATTTGGCCACATTTTTAACTTAAAAACTTATATTTTTAGTTATAAGAATAAAACTGGGCCTACAGAGAAAATGAGTATCAGAATTTAGACCTATAATTTTAAATGAAGGCATTATCTTGGAATGAAAACAAAGTTCCAGACTGAAAAGTTTTAATGTATAAGAAAATACTCCTTTTACATTTGCATTTGCATTTTAATTTTTATAATTCTATAGTGGCTGCGTGTTCATGTTTGTTGTATAAGTATATTATATAGGATGTCTTTTTTGCCTCATAGTTAAAATCATTTAAATCCTAATTTCAGCTGATGAGTAAAGAATCTCCTGTCTCTGCTGGAAATGATGCCTATGTTGACCTTGATCGCCAGGTACCTAATTTTGCATTGTTTTTATCCCTGCAAAGATTGAAAAGGATAAAGTTTAAATATTAATTAAAAGGATGATTCAGTTGAAATTGCTTTTGTAATATATCGGTATAATTCTTTGTGTTTTACCAAAAATTTAAGAATTTAAGCCACTTATGGATACTACACATTTTATTATTGCATAACTCACTTTAAAATAAATTAACTTCTTTAATTTCTTGTAATTTGTGTTTTCTAGTCCTGATTTTTCTTTTTCTATTAGTGATATGTTTCTGTATACTACATTTAACACAAGAGATGCTTTTCTGGAAAATTGTATGCATTTTCTATTGATATAAATAATCTTATGGTTTATTTTATATAATAAAAGCGTAATATGCTAAGTGTCCAACCAATCAGTCAACTGTTCTGTCAGCCACTCGCCCAGTCGCTATGACATGCATTGACCACCAGGAGGCAGATGCTCCAACTGGTAGGTTAGCTTGCTGCTTGGGTCCAGTTGATCTGGACTGGGCAAGATGGCCCCGATTGCTGGCCAGGCCAAGGGACACCACCCGTGCACAAATTTGTGCACTGGGCCTCTAGTTTATGATGAGAAGATAGTTTACATTTTATTTCACATTATTCTTCAATTGAAGATGTCTCCTCTAACCTTCATACTTAAATGCACTGAGAAACTTAGTCCTTCATTTTTAAATGAAGAGTGTTTTTATGGTTTTAATGGAAGAGTTCATTTGTAATTTTAATTATTGCATTTTAATAAAATGCAATTAGTTTCATTGCCACTTTCTGTGTTCCAGCTATTCTGGGACATCTGTCCCAAAGCTTGAAGAGAAGCTTTTGTGGTCTTTTTCTTCTTTCATTTCTTCTCCATAGTTTCTAAATGTTTGGCAGGAAAATCTTAGGGCATGCTGTAATTTTAACCCAAGCTGTAATTTGTCCTTCCCTTACTTTGTAGTGTATTTGGTTTTAAAGTTGTTACTCTGAATGAATTTTTTTGTATTTATATTACACAGAGGTTTGGTCACATGAAACGAGAAGCTGATACAATTTTATTTTAATCCATTTTTTCTTTTTAAAAATTAAGTGATTAATTAATTAGTTATAATTGATTAATTGTTCATACTTTGCTAACTTAGAGTTTATATAATGGACACGCTCAGAAATGTTTGGTTTATGTTGAGGATCAGAATAATAAAAGCCTTTTAAAACTGATACACAAATTAACATAAAGTTTTAATATGACTAAAAAACTTGTATTGAAATACACTAGTCCTATATAGTTTAACAATTGAAACCCTTGACCTCTAGCACATACATGTTTTACTAAGGTAAAATTTCTATTATTTGAGTCAACATTACTAAGAACCAAGTAGGCCAGGAAGAAGATGTGTAGGAAAACTTGATATGCAGAAAGAACCAAATTCAAAGTACAGAAAAGACAGATTTAGGACTAAACGATATTCAAAGTTAGAAGTGCCTTCTTTTGATTCTTGCACAGAGGGTTCTTGATTTCTCCCTGTCCCTCATAAAGAAAAGGGGGATAATGTTTAATTCCTTATTATACAAATGTAATTATTAATTGTTGCCACTTCATATTGAAATGCTTATTGTATCTCTTTGTTTCCAATCAGTTGAAGAAAACTACAGAGGAACTAAATGAAGCTTTGTCAGCCAAGGAAGAAATTGCTCAAAGATGCCATGAGTTAGATATGCAGGTAAGAGTTCTGGTCTGTGTACCACCTGTTTGAAATGTACCCCTGTAAATACCACAAAATGTACTGTGTCCTGCCATAAGTACAGTTTGTCTACAATGCAACCCTAATTAAAGAAAAATAAAGGAAGACACATTTCTGGTTAAAGATAGACTGAGCAAATACATTATTAATTTCCTTTCGTGAATATTTAACCCTCGGCTTGGTTATAGGAGCACAACACACTACCAGTTTTCACCAAACTCTGAAAGCCAGAAGGCAGTTGGAAAAGTCCTGAATGGCTGAAAGGAGTAAAGAATGTAGTGGCCAACAAGGGAAGGGCAGTCTACTGGAGCAGAACCCCAGGGAGAGCACAGATACAAGGGAAGGCTGAGTGAGGCTGCAACTGGAGGTTTTATGTAGAAGAGTTAAGTCCCATCAACCCTGTCACCCATTGCATATAGAATGACCTATACTATAGCCAGCTTCCCAGTCAGAGCCATCTTTTCCACAGAATTTAAACAGAAGCATAGGGAGGTTAGACTGAGTATTAGTATTGCAGAGTGAGGTCCGTTTCATTTTGTTTTGTTTTTTCTGGGTTCTTTAATTTACATAAAGGTCATTTTCTTGTTAATAAAGCCCTAAAGTGAAGCCCTAAAGTGATCCCATATAGCTACCAGTTACCCATGCTGTTGACTAATTCTAAATGTGAGGGAAATTTGCATAACAAAAGATAAAAGGATCAAGATAAACCAGAAACTGGCCATAGAGGAAGTGGTGACAGTTGCAGAGATTTTTCCCTTTTAATCTAATACTGCCAGTAAAATTAGTGATACTTCCTCTGTACAATAAGGACAAGGTGCTGTTTTAAAAAAGGAAAACTTAGAGATCAAGAAACACTTTAGTAAACTTAAAATAGAATTGTCAAAATAAAAATTCAGTAGACTAGTTAAAAGATAAAGTTGAAGAAATCTCTCACAATTAAACAAAATAAGAAATAAAATTATTTTCTGGCATTACCTCAAAATGAGGGAGGTGTGGAGAGTTGTGTCAAGGTATAGATTAAACCAGCGGTTTTCAATCTGTGGGTCGAGACCCCTTTGGGGGTCAAACGACCCTTTCACAGGGGTTGCCTAAGACCATCAGAAAACACATATATAATTACATATTGTTTTTATAATTAATCACTATGCTTTAATTATGTTCAATTTGTAACAATGAAATTGGGGGTCACCACAACATGAGGAACTGTATTAAAGGGTGGCGGCATTAGGAAGGTTGAGAACCACTGGATTAAACATAATTGACCATGTTTTGATATTTGTTAAACCTGGATAATGGGTACACAGGGATGATAACATTTACACTAGCAGCATTTTACTTTGGAAAGCATAAGAGTTGGTATTGCTTTGATGTATATAGGAAGTTGTGTAATCAAAGCACACAGGTTATATAGTAAATAATATTTAGTCATAATGTAAATGTTATTTTTTTAAATAAATCTTTATTCAGATTATTACAGTTCCTCTTTTTCCCCCCCATAGCTACCTTTCACCCAGTTCCCACCACACCCCATGCCCTTACCCCCACACTGTCCTCGAGTACGATTTTTGTCCAGTCTCTTCCCTCACTCCCTACACCCCCTTTCTCCAGAGAATTGCCAGTCCACTCCATTTCTATGCCCCTGATTCTATTATATTCACCAGTTTAATCTGTTCATCAGATTTTTTATTCACTTGTTTTTTAGATTCACTTGTTCACAGATATGTATTTGTTGTCACTTTGTTCATAATTTTTATCTTTACTTTTTTCTTCTTCTTCCCCTTCTTAAAGAATACCCTTCAGCATTTCATATAATACTGGTTTGGCAGTGATGAACTCCTTTAGCTTGTTCTTATCTGTGAGGCTCTTTATCTGACCTTCAATTCTGAATGATAGCTTTGCTGGATAAAGTACTCTTGGTTGTAGGTTCTTGGCAGTCATCACTTTGAATATTTCTTGCCACTCCCTTCTGGCCTGCAAAGTTTCTGTTGAGAAATCAGCTGACAGTTGTATGGGTACTCCCTCATAGGTAACTGACTTTTCTTCTCTTG